GCACACTGTATATGAGGACCATTGCCGTGGCAACTGGACAACAACTGTAATTTGGAGGCCACAACAGCAAATCCTGTCGGCGTAAATCTAGTTTCTGAGGACATTGTTTTATCATTACCACAAGAAATCAATTTGGTTAAAAATATAAGTAATGTGTCATATTCTTATTAATTATACTGTCCCTGATATGATATGTTTTTTTTTTAACATTTTCAACCTCTAAAACCTTTTACACAGTAGTAAAAAAATGTAATTTTATTAATGTCTTCTCCCAATTTTTTCATATAAGGTTTAGGAGCACAGTGTTGAACTAGATTATTCCCATGTTTCCCATGGCAGAATGCATACATTTTGTATTTAACAACTACCAGAGTTTTTTTTTCTTAATCACACATTGATTTTGAAAAACATTGCATTTTTTTATTGGTCTCAAACACAAAAACCTGTAGTTCTGAATGCTGCATACACTCAGGGCATTCTTTTCCCACTTGTAAATGCTTGTGAACATGTACACTGAACTGTGAAATCAAATATTATCTAATAACAATTGCTATATTTGTCAGAAAACCATAATTTGATATTTTAGTGACATTTCTTGTATGACCAATTAAAATGGAAAAGCACAATCCACTCTGCCCAAATTGTATCATGACCATCTTTAATAATAGCCCAATTAAATGCAGCTATTTATATACCTCAGTAGCAATGAATAACATGTGTATGTGTTAGGTATGTTACCTGGTGGGGCACTAGGACCCTGTGGAGGAGGCGGCTCGTGCTCCTGGCTGCCTCCTGCTTCATCTCTGCAGTCACAGAGTGGAGGAGAGCAGGGGCTGAGCTGCTGTGCCTTTGGAAGTGCTTTAGCATCACCATCGTCTCCTCAGTAAAATATGTCTACCACCTTTGTCATCATCTGGGGAGAGGATGCAAGCAGAGACACATCAAGGCTAGCCTACAGGACCTGCATGTTTTCAAAGAACACTGATTGATGTCCACTCCACACTGAGCAGGGGGAGCTACCAGTTTTTCATCTTAAGAGACTAAAAGCAGCAGACAGCAGCATCAAGAAATACTTTTGGATCAGGTACATATTTTTCAATTTCCTGTCTCTCAAATGTAAGGTCCTATTGTCAGAATTAAAGTGTGTGCTATGAAGCATGGACCCAGCTTTTAAGAATGGGTGTAACATGATAGTTATTAAACATAATCGTGTAGGAGGTAGGTAGATATGACTATACTGGGGAAGAGGCTTAGAATGTATTGGGGGTGCCTATGTTAAAAGAGAATCCAGGTGATGTGACACATGAATGCTGGAAGAAGGCGACCACAAAATAGTGGGACTGGTTACATATGGGAGTGAGGGATTTCATAGCTTCATAGCACAACAAGCTATCACATTTTTCTAAAGGCTATTATTGTACCTGCCTCCTACCTACATACTAATCCACTACACCTATGTACACAGTGTCGAGGCCTGGAACACTTTGTGTACATATTCAACATGAGCTCTAAGGTGGGAATGTTAAGGCCCATTAAACTGACATAGTCACTGATGTGGGACTGTAACGTGTGCCACATCATTAAAGTTATTCCTATTCTAGCATAGGATGTATGCTAAAAATGTTCTTATCACCTACATTGGCTGAATACATATTTTTTCTTTATTAAAGTTGTATTCATAAGTAAAAATAAAGAAGAGTTTTTAATGTACTTTCATGTTAGTATGAGCAAATAACTAGTTCATTAAAGTTCTATGTTGCCTACCTGACCCTGTTAAATGTTGATGTTTCACAAGTCTATAAAAGGTAACAGATTTTATATATTTGTGTTTGTAGCTGTTTTATGGAAGAATTATAGTGTACTTGTATTACATGTACAAAACACATGTACTAACCTGTGTATGCTGTTTTGTTCTTAGGAAGTGTATACCCTAATGGCCACTCATTACTCTAAGTCACCCACCTTTGGACTGCCCACCACCTTGTGACCTTGTTTTGAGCCCCTGTTTTCCGTCGTTCTTCCTGACGCAGAAGGATGGGTGATGGGCCTGTGAGCTGTCTCGCCTGCCTGCCTCGTCCCACCCTCCAATGGAGTCGCTGTGGAACTCCTCCCAGTCCCCTCCACTGTCCAACACTTCAGCCTCGGCGCTGGCTGAAGGGTGGGCTGTGTCCCAGGCTCTAGCTCTGGTGGCCATGCTGTTGATGGACCTGGTGGCAGTAGTGGGGAACATAGCTGTGATGGCGGTCATTGCTAAAGCTCCTCAGCTCCATAAGTTTGCCTTCGTCTTTCACCTGTGCTTGGTGGACCTTCTAGCTGCGCTGGTCCTCATGCCTCTGGGAATGCTATCGAGCCGAGCCTTCTTCGGAGAGGCTCTGTGCCGGAGCTACCTCTTTCTCAGTGTGTGCCTGGTCAGCGCTGCTATTCTGTCCATCTCTGTCATCAATGTGGAGCGTTACTACTACATCATACACCCAATGCGCTATGAGGTCAAGATGACAGTGGGTCTGGTGGCCTCTGTGCTGGTGGGCATCTGGGTGAAGGCCCTCATCATGTCTGCACTGCCGCTCATTGCGTGGTTCCTTCAAGGGGGAAAAGCTCCTCTGCTAGAGAGTGGTAGTGTGGGAGCGGGAGGTGGTGGTTCGGTCCCCTCACCCCCGACTCAGGGCCACCGGCGCTGTTCCCTCCACTGGACAGGAGGGGGCTCCAACCGCTTGGCCTTCATGGTTCTTTTCACACTTGTTTACTTCCTGTGTCCACTACTTGTTATCCTGGTTGTGTACTGCAATATGTTCAAAGTGGCCCGTGTTGCAGCAATGCATCATGGGCCTTTGCCGACCTGGATGGACACGCCTCGTCGTCAGCGCTCTGAGTCTATGAGTAGTCGTTCCACCATGGTCACCAGCTCTGGTACAGGCAGCGGGACAGGTAGAGCAACTCCTCAGCGGCCCTTTGGAGGGGGGAAGGCAGCTGCGATCCTGGCTGCAGTTGGAGGTCAGTTCCTGTGCTGCTGGCTGCCATATTTCTCCTTCCACTTGTACTCTGCTCTGGCCTCCAGCTCCCCGGCTGCCCTTGCCTCATTGGAGGAGATCGTCACCTGGATTGGTTATTTCTGTTTTACATCCAACCCTTTCTTCTACGGCTGTTTAAACAGGCAGATCAGAGAGGAGCTGGGGAAGCATTTGCCTTGTCTGTTCCGACGTTCTGGGGTGGAGGTGGAGGAGAGGCTGCCCAGTCGGGATGGTTCCATAGAAGAGAACTTCTTGCAGTTTCTTCAGGGCACTGGGTGTAACCTGGACCCTCAGAACTCCCACAGCACTTCAAGCCCCAAAGGAGAAGGTTGCTGTCCTGCAGCTCAGGCTCTGCCTCCTGAACCTCCACAGCCAATCCCAGTTGATTTCCGTATTCCTGGACAAATTGCAGAAGAGACCTCTGAGTTTACTGAGAGTGACCAAGTAAAAAATAATCATATATATACAGAAAACTAAGCTTTTATCACAGGCGCTGTATTTTTGAAAATAAGTCTTCAGATAAAATATGTTTCAGGTGTTGCTTTAATTAAGGTGTACTCCTCTAAATGCTACAGAGCAAGATATTTAAAATAACTGAGTATGCACTTTGCTTCATTAGTTTTAAATGGATATAAAACATCAAGAATTTTCCATACAGTAAAGCTTTTGTACGCATTTTAACAGTTGAACAGGGATTTAATATTTTACTTTGTTTTTTCTGATGGCCTTCCATGCAACCACTCAGCTCTGTACAGAAAACTACTACTCAGTGAATGAACTGTTGAGATTTTGTCTTAGTCAGTAAGTTTACATTAAAACAGTATGAAACTTGGCAACATTTGCTCTAATACAAAACAAACTGAATGTGATTATACTTCTGTAACACTTCCCTATTGTTATTCCACATGTAAGACAATTATTGTGTAACATTTTAGATTGATGTTGACTACTCTGAAGTAGAAGATTTAGTACACAGAAATTACACATTAAAAGTAAAACATAAAATCAACATTTAGTGGATCATAATCTTAAACTTGCCTTGATTCATTGGGATGCCCTCAGTGATTTGACAATGCACAAAACAGTTTACAGATTGACCATTATTTCTTGCCCCTGATGTTATAATTATAAATTTGATCTGATGTAGTTACATCTTCAGGTTCTTTTAAGTGTTGTTTTTACCCCATACTGTATGATCATATGTGCAGAATAAAAAAAACTACAGTATTAGGATATTCATTACAATCCATATGTAATTTGTGTCATTATACTTTTTCTTGTGAATATTGGATCACCTCAGAATTCATGTGCCTCTTAGGTTTTAGTTTTGTTTTTGATAAGTTTAAGTTTTGATATGTTCAGTACTGTTTTATATCAGCAGTTGACTTGTATGCAGTCTGTAATGTTGGGTTTAAAGCAGTTTTGATGCATTGTTTACTGTGCTTCTGAGAGTATTTCTCTCACAGGCAAAATTGTCAGCAATGATTCCTGTGCATTTATATAAAAAACTGCATCATTTAAGTGAGATGGACATGTTTGACTGAAAGGATTTTTACCATGGAAACAGGGTTTTAAAGCTATTTTTATCTACGAGTTCAGAAAATTTTTAATACAAAAACTGAAATGATCTTAATATTTTTTGTCATTTGTCTAAATAATACTGTGAATAATCTTGAATGTTTGTGTTAGGATTTTCACTTGTTAAGAATTTTTTTTGTACGCTGTGCTCAAAGTAAAGAATGACTTCCATTGTACTTTAAAGATGAATGTGTGCAGATTCAGTGCGGTATGTGGAAATAAAAGGTTTCTATGTTTATAAGTTAACACAGTGATTATGATGATGCTCTTTCATAGTATTCTTTGCAGTCCTGATAACGAGACAGTAGCCAAAACCACTTGTGTTGTAGTTTTTCACTGAAAATTACGTTTGCCATAGACCTCACACTTCCAGAGATGGACCTCCATCAAACGCCCCCAGCCTCTCTAGTTTCCGCCCATGACATCCCCATGGCAATTATTACCTAGTGACATTTCTTTGTGTTCCTGTGGGTGGGAGGGGGAGCCTGCAGATAAAGACACCCTCCCTACCCTCCAAATACATGTTGGACTCCTCACTGGCTAAGAGTACAACACTTACTTAAAATGCAAAGGCCCTATATGTAAGTCAGTATGCATTTCTGCAGTTTTGATTGTGGCTAAATTATGGGGTCTGGAGAATTCTGTTGGTTAATTTAGGCAATAAAACTTTTTTTTTTCTTTCATATTTAGTGTCAAAGTAGCCTGTGAGCTGTGCAGTAGGCCCCTTCTCTTTAGTTGATTTAAAGTGAAGTATTGACCTGGTCTTCCACCTGGTTCCCTCCATGTTTAGTGCCTATTTTAGATCAGGTTTAATCTGGGTTTAGGCCTTTTGACTGAACTGTGTCTACGTGTTGCGCAGCTTGACTTTTGAGATTGATCATAAATTGAGACCACACTAGGAGGTGCAGCATGGACTTTACTCCATGGATCTACAGTTCTATGCTTTACATTCAGTCATTTTTATTTTTATTTTTTTAAATCGCAGTACTTCCTGTAAATCATCTCACATATCTCATAAGGCTAGTCATCATGACTGCTGACCTCAAGTCTTCAGACCAGTCCAGTAGCCACAGTGGGCGGCTCTCTTCTCTTAACCTGCTCTTCCTCAAACACTGTTCTTCTCTGCAAAAGCTACTTTGTTCTTCGCTTACTTTGTTAGCGGTAATGTATAATGTATTAGCAATAATAATTTGTTTTATTATATATATTTGACACGAAATGAAGACAAGTTGTTGATAATATTCGATGTTAGCTTAAACTTGTTTTATGTAAACACCAAATGCCACAGATGGCGTAACACCTGTAAATAAACACATAAGCTAACATTTACGATGCAAAACTGGACAAGTAAAAAGTTTCCCAGTTTTCATATTATTTTCTGTGTTTGGACAGTTGTTTTCTCCCGGTCTTCTTCCTGTTCTCTCGAAGCTGCATGATCCAGAGAGAGTGAAAATATGTCAGGGGGTGAGTGAGTTCTTCTGTTTTCTACGATCAGTTAAATCATGTGGATGATTCAATGTACAGATAAACTTAACCAAATGTGAGACACAGAGGAAGTATTTCTGAAATTAGTCAGGCTATTATGAAATATTTATAAAATTACATTTAGGCTCCTCATTAACAGTAGAGCAAGCAAGTTGCAGTGGGTCTTATTACTTAAAAGAGCAGTAAGTTGATTGAGAAAATCTATGATCTATGATCAAAATCTTAACTAATATTGTGTTACTATGAATAAAAAAGTTGGCCGCTTAGGTTTTGAGTTAGGCCAATCCATTTTTGTGTGAAATGTTGGAAAAGAGCAAAGCAGCCAATCATCATGCCACTAGGTGGCGATGTCTACAAAGGTCTTAACGCTTGGCGATGTAAAATTGTTGAATTATACTTTACTTAGACTGCAAAAGCATATTAACATGAGTATTAGGAAATAGTAACGCTACTCTGATGATTGTCTAAGTATGTGTAAGCTACAAACTCAAAATGATCTGAAAACAAGCTTGACAACATGCTTGTCCAGCTTTGGTTTCCATTTAAAAAACTCCAGGTCTGGCAGTTCTGTTGTGTATCAGCTACTTTCTGTCTGTCCTCGTTTTTGTTGTGAGGGTCTGAAATCTAAAGTATGCAGAACCTATTCTTTGGTTCTTTCTGTTTCTTTCACTTGGTTTATCTGGACACTTGGGCTGTTTGTGTATGCTTCATTACACATTCTCATGATATCTGGTGTGTCTAATAGCTATTTTTAGAGCAGTGGAAACTACTTTTGTCCTTCGCTCACCTTGCTGCTTAGATGGTGTTTAGTGGCTCTGCAGACTCATGCTGGTTGCACACTTCTGCAAATGCTGCTCAGTGTAGCTTCTCTTCCGTACTTTCACTTCAGGAAACTTGCACCCTGGTTGTTATGGCAACCAAGGAGGCTAGCCCCCAGTGGTGGAGAGACATATCGAGGATTTCCTGTCAGCTTATCACGCTACAGCACACACTCTGACCTGCTGCTTGATGGGAGGAGGGGCCAGCTGTGCGCAGGGGTGCGTGCTGCTGGTCCAAGACGGGATGTTGTGCCCTACCATCCGGCCACACGACACTGTCCCAGGGTGACAGCTGCTCCCCTGTCCCTCTCCGGGACACTACCTAGAGCTCATTTGTTCTCCTCAAGAAGCCAAGACACAGAAGATAAGATGTCATTCTCCACGTCTTCCAGCTCCACTAATGGACAGGAAAAGAACAATGCAAAATCACCATTTCGCAAGAGAGCAAGCCTACAGATGCCCACAAACACTGGTGAGTACAGCGCAGGGTGAAGTGTGGATATTTAGAAAGCACTTAGAAAAAAGTCAGAAGATTTCAATCTAATGTTTACCATTAGCTCTTCTATGACTCTTCGGTTGTTGTGTCACTTATTATTATTGCAGTAAACTCTCAAAATGTCAGTTCTTTTTTATTTTCAAGTATTCTTTCTAAAGCTATGCTGAGATTCACTGTTGAGTTGGTTTGCAAGTTGAAAACCAACTTCCATTTTTGGGTCGAGAGATGTAAATATTTATATAAAAGGCAAGTGTCGAGGGAAGCTTTGCCTTGGTGCCATGGTCTTACTATGTGTCATGGTCTCCTTATCTGGTGAGATTGGCCAACAGACAAAAGTGATACTGTTAACTGTTAATATGAACTCTCTATTGCAGATTACTCTTCTATAATAACTTTTTTGTGATACATAACTAAAGAACGGGTGTATATACTGGTAACGGAACAGTTTCACAAGCATATTTCTGTTTCTTACTTATAAATTGATTGTGTCTATTTTCTCCTAATTGGCTAATTTAAGATGCACTTTTTGACGTAAAAGCCACAGTAGTAACCTTTGAAGTGTTTTCCTTTGAACTGCATGGCCTGAGAGATTACATACACACACATACACTCTGTAAATTTGAGCTAATTAGCAGCTATTATTGATTAACCTCTCAGCTGCCTACTTTGTGGTTGAACTCAAATGTAAATGTTAAGTACTGGTATAAGGACACTCCAGAAGATGCCTGGCAGTATTTCTTTTGGACAGACCACTCTTATTTGCTGAGGAAGCCTTTGCGTGCTGCAGTAATAAATAACTTAGGGCTCTCTCCATCGATGCAGTCATTTTAAGGCTTCTCAATTAGCCGCTTGACTGAGCCCTCTGCACTCCCAGACTATGTGAGCTAGTCTTTTTAGTACTTTCCTGGACCAAACCAGTACAGTGCTGTGAAATGTAACAGCTGGTGTTTGTCAAAGAGAAAACTCCTCTATTCATTTAAAGCTCCTAGGATTGAAAAGATGATCTGATTAAGCCATATTTTTGCTGCTTTCAAACAAAGTAACTGACTAGATTTGATGAATGCAATATTGATTGCTGTCAGTTGTTTATATCTGCGGAAATGCTTTCTGATTTCTAATAGACATGGCATTACATGAAATGGAAACGAATATAGGCCATTCCAAGATGTGCTGATGGGAGTTGGAAGATCAGAGAGATGCATGGAAATATTATTAAATGTGTCTATCCTAGTTTTACATCTCATCTGTTTAATGTATTTTCCTTATTGAGTAGAACACAGAACCATTATATGAAGTTTTAATGTGGATGTTGTTGCTTTAATCTAAGAAAGAATTTTTTGGGAAATTCATCATGACAAAAATAAATACAAAATGTTCCAATTATCCTCTGTGCTGGGTATGGATGTAACAATAAGCAAAATATTGTGGTATCGTATCGTATCATCAAAGGTCTTGCAGTAATAACGTGGGCTGTCATTATATGTGGAATTATAAGTTTCTTTGCTTAAATCCTTTATTTTATTGTAACAGCAATCAAAAAATCCCCAGAGGGAACTACATAGACCATGATCTTTTGTTCCATTTCAGTGCAGACAATATGGAGAAATAACTGTTACAAAGAATTTTTCCATTTTCTTTGGAATATGACAGTAATACTGCATCAAAGGTTTTTCATTGCTTTTTTAATGAAAAAGTAGCATTTCTTCAGTTCTGTTAGCAGTAGCAATGACTATGGAGAAAAGTCCAGTTTTGCAGCTCATCTTGAGTTCTGGTCAGATTGCTGTTGAACACTGCCTTATATTTGTACAGTTGACAGAACTGAATTTCTCCTTTGCTTATGTAACTGTTACATATCCTTCAAGTACCACTGATTTTTACTAGCATTACTAGTGTTAACAATGTGCCCTGCCAAATCTATATATGGTGTGTGGCCTCTGCTCTCTTCTCTGTGTGTTTAGTTTAAGTGGACATGCACATTTTGCCCTATGGACTTTATTTTGCACAACCAGCAAACCTCTGTGCATGCCTCCTGGCCTCCCTCCTCCATACACGGCAGAACAATGTGTGACAGACACCTCTTAAGCCCATCCTCTCTCACAACCAATACAGTAACTCTAGAAGAAGTTAGAAGTTTGAGTAATACTAGGACTTATTTGAATAGTCTACTAGTCAGTGATTATTTTTTTGATTACACGACTAGTCTTTCTTGTACACTGAGATTTAAAAATATGTATTATGTATAATAATATATAATATTTTTGTATATGTTATAAAAATAAAATTAAATAAATACAATGTTAAAATATAATAGTATAAATATTATATATATTTTTATTATTTTAGGACATTTTTTATTATTAATGCTGCTATATTTGTGATAAAAAGTATTTTGGTATATTGTACGTCTAGTCATGATCAGTCCGATAACTTTCTGCATTCCTAGTAATAGTAAGAGGTTTTAAGAATCATTCAGCTATCCGTGGGGTTGTAGTATTTGTTACCATAGCAATTCGGCCTGTTACTAGAGCAATACAAAATTCTAAACAAATTGATAAAACCAATTTATATTATATCATATTTTGATTTAGTATTATACATTAAAATCCATATTTAATTTGAATGTCTCATATCTGGGGTAAGGTGATATTTTTAGAAAAGTTTATTTAAAATCAAAACACATACCATTCCTTTAAGACAAATGCCATTTGCTTCATATTGGAAATGGGATCATTGCATAAGTGCAAGGATGGTTCTTGTAGGGACAGGAGGCTTGCTGTTATTGAGTGTTCTTAGATAACTACAATGTCTTGTTATCTGTCATTGTTATCATTGTTAAGTCATACTACGCCCTGCCATAAACTGTATGTGAACTGCAGGTGTTCCTCCATGATTTTATATTAATTTAAATGGACTGGCATTATGAATGGGCTTGTATTTGGGCTGTGTATTTTAGTTGCCATTTTAATAGCTAAATGGAAACAGTAATCTAAATATTTATATTACTGTATTCACACAAAACAAAAATATATAATTTGCTAATCAATTAATTTGACAATTATTTTATCAGCACGTGGCATGTTTAGAGTCTATAGTCTCCAGACTATAGTCCAGATCATTACCTAAGCTGTTGACAGTTATTTAAAGGTGAACTATGTCACTTTTTGGTGGAGGGTCCTGCCCCCTGCTTGTCTCAATGGAGATTTCATTGCTCCCAGTATGGGATTAAACTTGGCGACCTTACATTTATTGAATTACAAATCGGACCTGCAGCTTGGATGGTTGGCGTTACCTGCTTGTTATCTCCATGGACATAAATAAGTTTAATGTTATACTGTAGAACATTCCAGGGTAACATCTCCACAGAGACAAGCAGGTGGCAGACACTCCAAAATTACATAGTGCATCTTTAAATATATTTAAGGTGCTGACCAGTTTTACTTTATTTCTTTATGACCACTGATCGGTGACACCCATGGAGTCATATATCACTGTAGTCAGTATAGTAAGCCTACTCCCTATGTTACATGTCTGGTTAACACAGGGTTGCGCTTTGCTACAGTCAGATATGAATGATGAGGACAGCACTTTCAGAGGTGTTGGGCCTGTAATCTGTTATCATGGGGGTGTAAGGGGAGTTGGGGGAGGGGGTACATGGGAACCACCACTGTCCCACAGGCAAACAGTTTTAAGTCATGTTTTGAGAATAAAATTTATGAACTCAAATACCACAGTGTTGACCAGCTTTTGTCCCTACTGATAGTCCTGGGAATGTTCCTCTGAGAAACAAACCACAGAGTAAAAGCTATGTCAATAACAGATGTATTTTGGGACCAAACTGGGGAGCTATTTGAATCTTGACTTGCACAAAATTTTTTCTTAATATTTTGCTGAATATTAAAGTAACCTTGTTTTCCTTTTCTGACAATTTTTTAACTCCTTCAGATTTTGCAGTTTAATAATTGTAAGTCTGGTTGTTTATGGTTGCTTTATCTGTTTGCAAGATAGAGGATCTGTTGTCTGCTATTGTGGAAAACAAAACCTTGAGCACACAGTACCAATAAAGAAATAACAAAAAGGTGACCAAAACGTTTACCAAAGAGCAAAAACATGTATTTGTAGTATGACTTCTTTTGTTGAAACATTTGGTAAGAAGAAGTACAGGTTGTCCACTGATCTTGCCTAAAACAGATTGTTGTTAGGGGCGTTTTATCTTCTCTTGACAATTTCACAGTGGTGTTTTACAGAAATGAGTCCAAGGGTCAAGTCTGTCAGTTATGCAGAGACCACCTCTTCAAACACTATTGCCAAAATGCCAAAGTTACCTGTTATATTTTGAAATATTTTGCACATATTTGGGCCCTTTTGGCACAGCACACAATTGTCTGTTGTGAAATCAGTTCTTGCATAGTAGTGAACAGGGTAGTGAAAGATGTGGAGATGAATACAGAGCTTATGCAAGTCTGCAGCGTGCAGCAGTCATGTGACAGGCACAGAGGATGGAAGTCTTTGGTTGCATTATGTACCATGCTGTCTGTTCATTCTTGTGGAAGTTAGCACTCATCACCAGTAAATCACCAAAAAATGATCAATACGGTGTGACTGAAGTATATAGAGCTATATGGAAAAACTGTAGACAAGAAAAATTTAGATATAGAAAAGAAGATGTTTTACTTGTCTCTTTACTCTTGTCTTGTTAAGACATGACCAGGTTATTACAGTATTAAGACACTAAGACAAAACTAGGACTACAAGGACCTAATCTAACCATATTTGCAGTTAAGGCTAATGACCTGTACTACACAGGACGATTATTGTGAGAAGAAAATATCACAATTTTGACATCATGGCCAAACAATAGGGAAATCCTTAATTTTCTTTCATTCACATTGGCCCATAAAACCCTCCTCTACGATATTGCCATATTGATGAAATCAAAGTAGATTGAGATAAATGAGGTTAGGTTACTATAGTAACCT